GCTGTGCAATCATAGTGATCTAATATAGACAATATTAAACCATGCCTAAAGCTCTACATTAACAGTTTACTTGAAAGTTTACACTGACAGTGACTGGCTGACTTACAAAGTGTGTGTATCCCCTTCAGGCAGAATGAGCCTTGGATGTTGCTGAATGGTAATGGGAGAACTGGAGTTGGAGCCAGATGCTGAGCTGCCAGAGGAGAGGCTGGGAGGGTGCACCTCTGACAGGTAATCCTGAGGAGGATCCCCTTGTAGAGGCAGCTTGATGTGGAGGTCCTCGGAGATGGGAGAGTCCATAATGCCGCATGTCAGGATGTGCGAGAGACTACAATCATCACATGTGCATCTATCGGTTGGGGTGAGCAATACCAACAAAATGATTATTCCAATAATCGTTAAACCAACATGCCACTATACCAATTGTCAATTTACCACATTAGTCAAATTCACACTGTACAAACAAATTCATTCACATTTCAATAAGTTAAATGGTTTTTCGTATTTTGGTAATGCAATTATATGAAGAGACAAGTATCCCCTCCTACTGGGAATAAATTGAGTAATTTTAGTATGAATTACAAATTCATCAATTCTTCTAGCAAGTTGGAGTAAGCAAGTAAAACCAGGAAGAATCTATCTGCATATTAGGCAAGCAACATTTTAATGCTAGTCTAGGTCAGACCTTCATGAATTTTTCAGGCTAGCTACTAGCAACTATTGATTTTGCTAAAACTCATCCAATACTACAAATAGTACCAAGCTCTGGGGACCATTTAGCTCATGTTTGCAAAATGTGCCTTGTACTTGGGCCAGGTTGAGGTCGGATCAGGTTCACACCACAAACTGCTCCAGAATTTATTTTTGACCAGACCAAGATCACTTTCTTTAAAGGTTCTTGATCTGGTTGTTCAGGTCTGCAACCCGACTACAACTTCTGTGTTAAGATCTCTCCTAACAACCTGAGTCCAATTTAGCTGAACTGGACACCGAATGTGAACTGATCTCAAACCAGGCAACAGATGGCAGACTAGTTAATCAGAACTCACCTTCTTCGGTAATTGCAGTTTGGACAGTCTGGAATACTTAGACGAGATGACAGCATCCTCATAGTGTCTGTGAAATTGTTATCGCTGCTGGGGGACTTCTTACTGTTAGGTAGCTATAAAAAGAACAAAATAAAACAGCTCTGAAGTGGAAAGTGCACATTTTAATCTGGCTTCAGGTTATTGTAGCACACCTGTTCTTCTATAAATCTCCTCTGCTTGAAGAACTCCCAGTCTTCCTTTAGCATCCTCTGCTTAGTCTTCAAAGTCTGGAAATGGGCACATAATGAAAGGAACATCTACTCCCATAAATTAGAAATAACTAAATTGCATAACTATGTTCAAATGGTGCTTTAAAGTCTTACGTTTTTGCTAATCAAAGACTTGTGTGGCGCAGTTCTTTGGTTGGTGAGACTCTGGCCCTCCACCTTAAAAAGCAGCTGCAGAAGAGTCGCACCTTTAGACCTTATTGCTAATTACTACTCATTTATCAAGTACCATCTTTTCATTAAAGTATCTTGAATGAATGTGTGTACCTGTTCATCTACATAGTCATCAATCCTCTTTTCACATTCCTGCCATTCAGCAGCCACTGAGGTCATCTCCTGTTGTAGCTGCTGGTAGCTCTCTAACAAGGTTCTGTACATGTCTTCGTTGTATGAATCATGGGAGGCTGTGCCATGTCTGGGGAAAAAAGTGGATTAAGAATAAGGCACAGGGCGGCAAGACATTTACTTTGACTACAACAGTACATCTGAAAAATTAAATGGAGTCCAAGTCTAATGTGGGTAAGAAATCATAATAATGTCTAATTCAAAGTCACAGTATCGTCCTTTAACCAAAAACTGTCTTACTTCAACTGTGCAACCAGTGCAGGTAAACTGCTGTGCAAGATCGTTTCAGAGAACACCAGATTCTCAAAAAGGTGCTTGTTGTGCAGCTCCCACGTCACCTGGAATTTCTGGAGGTGCTCATTCTCCTGAAGGGAAAAAAAGATTTAGGTAGGTAAAAATACAGTAAAGACAGATATGCACTTTCATTCTTGAGTAGGGAAAACACTGCTGTGCATGACAGATAATTCTGATTACACAAAAAGACAAACTGACCAGGGTGAGTAGGAAGCTGCTGATGGTGCGTGCAGCTTGGCATAGGGCACTGTACTCCTCCAGCAGCAGGGAGATAAACTGGTGGGCCTGAGGAGGACCCTGAGCTGCAGGCACAGTCCCTGCTGGTCCTGTAGTCTTGGAGCCTGCAGAGAGGTGCTTCAGTAGTCGCACCTTCATTTCCAATACGTATTCACGAGCTTGCTGCTCCAAGCGTTGATACAGCTGGTAGGGGTCCTTCTCACACAGTCTACAGGAGGAAAATAAAACAATCAAGATAGAAATCGAGACTGGACAGTCTCCTTATTCTTCCCTTGGTCTACAGTTTCAAAGGATGCCTCATTGAGTCATGGTATGGTCCAACATATTTTTTTCAACAGAGAATAATTTGTTAATGAAGTAAGGATGCCATTTTAAGTGGCTTTTAACCTGATCGATAGAGGCCTTTGAAAGAAACTGAAACTGACAGTTTTTACAGAAGCTTGTTTTCAGCATCAATGTGCTGTTCAATAGAGACCCCTAGTGGACACATGCTGTACCTTAAAAGACAGAAGCATATCAGAAAGATGTTAAGTGGAGCTATATTTTTTGTTATACCTGTCCACCAGCTCTTTCATGCCCTCCTTGTCTCTCTCTAAGGGCTGGTCATGATCGTCTGCTAGCGGTGTTCCTGTCTGACGGTAGATGCAGCGCACCAGGTAGCGAACCTCTGACCAGTGGTTCTGGAGTTGCTGTGACTCCCTCTCTGACTCAGCAGAGATCTCCCTATAATTCAGGGCACACATTTATAAAGATTGTATTAAAACACGCCAAGAATAAATTTACTAACATGAACACAAGTGTACTTCAAAGGCAATCAATCTGTATTGACCGTCTCTCATTGCAGGCTTCGCAGCTACACACTGTATCAGCAGGCATTGGTGCGGTGAGGTCTGGGGCAGGGAGCATGGGTAGTGTGGGCGCAGCAGTGGTAAGTCTGTCTCCTGTGGCTGCCACCTGGCCCAGGTTTCTATTACCCACAGGAGGCATGTGCAAAAGAAAATCCTGGCTCTGTGGGAAATAAGAAAAACAGCAGGCCAAGACACAAAACAATCTTCAGCTTCCTCAAGATACAAGTGAGCAAATCTTTATTTAATAAAAGTGTTCCTGTGATGTTAATGAATCATAAATATCAATGATGATGGCACTTCATATGACTAGCACACATGTATATTAACAGAAATGTATAGCAAAGCAAAAATAAAGCATATAATGTGAATGTGGGCAGATTCTTTGTATTTATTAGTATTTGGCTTGCCCAGAAAGAAATATAGAAGCTTTATTTTTTTTTTGGTCATTGTAACATGCACAACGAAATTTTGTTTGGAGCCGACGGCCCCGGGCTGCCATCATGGGCAACTGGGGGGGAGGGGGGGTGTCTTGCCCACACACTTCGACATGTAGACTGCTGGCACCGAAATTAGAACCTTTGACCTTCTGGTTGGGAGGCGCTTGCTCCACCCACTGCCCCACTGTCGCCCCCCCCCCAAAGGCTATAACTATTAATCCTGAACTGAGCATCACAGGGGTCTGATTATTGTTATATCTTAGCATCAACTTTGCTAACCTCAGTGACTCTATCAAGAACCTCAGTGGTTTCTGATTTAATCATTGCTAGGATACCAGACTTCTGTCATATAATTATGAGTCAAATGTCTGTTAACCCAAACTTTCTGTGGCTGCTTTACAGTGGTTTGGCCTTATTTACTACAGAGCCATGATTACTGTGAGTCAGCATAGTACACAACCTACTGAAAGGATGCAACAGAACAATACACTGAGGAGGAAACCAAACCCAGCCAAGGCACCCACTCCCATGGCAGAGGAAACGTTACCCAAACTTTAGGCTATGATCAAAATTATTTCTTGATGTCTATAGTACGACTACCTATTTTTCCTGCTCACTGTTTCACTCATAATCAAACAGAAAAGAAAATATTTAGTAATAAAAGGAAATGGAGGTAATGAACTAAAAGTGCAGTAAAAAGTTTAAGTATTTTATTAATTACACTCTTATAAAGCCAAAGCAGGCGGAAGAAAGGTGACTTTGTAGTGTTTTCCATACACAGTGTCAACACTGACCGCCACATATTCATTTAAAATAGGTTCAATCTTATTTCAGTGTAGTACTGTGTACAGTCCATGCATTTGCTCAGTCGCTCCATGCCCCTCAGTCCAGGAGAATATCAAAAAACACAAGTTGGAAAGCTGATCAGTCCGACCAGTGTGATTAGTGATCCAATTGATTTGTTTCAAATATTTACTGGTTTCAACCAGTGCTGCTGAAGCAGCGAGAGGGGGTCAGGAAGAGACAGCTGGAGAGAGATATATAGGAAGAGGGCAGCCGCCAACATGCTGCTGCTGTGGGAGATCTAGTGCGGAAGGGGCAGGTCAGATGAACAGCACTATAGCATTACTATATTTAATTTTATATATACATATATACAAGTGAAAGCATGACCCCCAACGTGAGCTACTGCCACAAGTAGAATAGAATTTTGTGGGAAACACTGCTTTGTATACCAATAATAAAAAAAAAAAAATGGCGTGTTGGAATCACAAGGTTCGTACACAGCTATATTTGTGCCGTCCTTACAAAGACACAAGCTGGGCACACAGCACGGGTTGCCTAACATAAAGGCGCCCTTTCTATAGGAAGTACTGAGCCACAGACATCATGGCATCTATAGAGTGCAGGCCTGAGAGGATATTTAAAGTTATGCTCTAATGTGTAAAAGGAAATCCAACAAGCACAAAAATAATGTGAAAGTAAGAATATGTTTGAAAACATGATCTTTGTTCTTGGAACTTGACAGACATTGCATATTTGACCTATTATCTAGCCATAGTTCAAAGTGAAGCCAAGTCAAAAAATTAAACGATAGAATGTCTATTATTCCATTCTCTGCAGCAGCTGCTTCTGATCGTTGCATCTGTTTTATCCTTTCTGGCAAAGAACCAGAGGTGCCAAGTGAACACAAGAGCTACACCATATATTGAAATACTGACCACAGCTGTGTGAGTTAAACTGCAGATAATTGGCATCTGTTTGAAAACAGTGATATCATTCAAAAAACCAGCAAGCTTACAGTCCTCCCGCTAAAGCCACAAACCTCTGCCGGTCATTTTAGAACTTTAACAACTTTAAAGCTCAAAGCTTATACCCCAGTAACTTACCCCCAACGACTGCTCCAGAGCAGTGTGTCGATCCTCCTTCTCGACTGTGCGCCTGCAGTCAGAGCACACCCATAGAGGCAGCTGAAGGGCACTGGGTGTCTTGGCAGACTGTAATGTACCATTCTGGCCCAAGATCCCTGTTTCTGAAGGCATGGCACTGTCTTTACGCTCACATCGGCATAAGAGGCAACGATCACCGGCCGTGTAGGGTGCACGCTGGTTTAAGCCAAATGTGAAAGGGGTCTTTGGAGGGAGGAAGTAAAGAAAAATAGATGAGGTACACAGCTACTTGATAATCTGCATACAGTTACTGTGTTCACAAGAGGCTTATAACAAGCAATTTTGAAAGAAAAACTGTTGTTCGACACTGGCTCCAAGATTTATGTGGTACATATTAAACCGCATCACACTCCAGTCTTTGGTAGCACAGTGCACTCCTGGCACACAGCTGTCTAAACCACCCCGCTGCACTTCATTCAAACACTGAAATCTTTTCCTAATGCACAACCCTGACAGTGAGTGAACCGCAGAGTGACACAAACACATAATTAGCAGCCAGAAGTTTCACTTAATGATATCCAAAATGACAGTGTATGTCAGGGAGCAATATGGCTTTAGGATTATAGAAAGAAGGCTGTTCTGCATCCATTTCGGCTGCAGTTTAGAGGTTGTTCACCGAAGAATATAAATCTGTGGGTTTCTCAACATCACCAACTCCTTGGGCAATGATTGAATGGTTGCTATACTAAAAAGCAGAACAGTAAACCACTGTGTTTGTGTTTTGCCAGTATATTTTGGTATTCTACAGAGGTCAGAATGGGTGTAACAATTAAAACTGTTCATTGTTTATTTGATACATTGTCACATTTTAGCACACTTTTGATATAACAAAGAAGTACCTGAAAAGTTCTACGTTTTTACTTTCAGGGTATAACAATTGATTTTACACCATTTGAGACTTTGTAATCAAAATGGTGACCTTTGCTTGACCTATTTAAAGTAATGTTTTAGCAGTACAACACAATCAGTGTTTATAACATAAAAACAACCAACCAAGCATTGTGAGATAGCTTAGGTTAACAACTATATGACATTTTATCAAGTATTATCTGCTTCACAACATGTGCTGTGTGAAATAGCTGGTTCTGAATAATACACCGAATGACATCACCAAATGTCCCTATGCTGTGATTCGCAGGTTAGCTGCTTTTTTTCTAGGTTTACAAATATTCATTTCAGTTTATGTAAAAGTTACCCATTAGGAAATGTTTTGATGATAGTCGCATGATATACAACTGAATGTTGATAGAAAGATGCTTCTGAGTAATCAGCAAAGAAAAATCTTATAGTGGTGTTACATGAACTTCTGAAACACCAGATGCAAGTTTACCTGAAGGACTCCAGAGAAATCAGCGTTCACCGGCCCTTCCGTGAACTGCGGTGTTACACTGTTGTTCACTTTGACCTGTGGGATACAAATAACTCAGTGTTTACCCAGAAGAGACCAATTACAGTTAGTAAACGTTATACTAGGACAGTCTTCGAAAGAATCACTTCACAGATTGAAGATTTTATTTGCAATCTAAGGCTGACTTGATGAGTGGGCTAATTATTGTATGATGTTTCAAATCTTTACTTGGTGAAGCAGAGCTCTGTATGATTTAAGCTTCAGAGCTATCCATGTGATGCAAATTCAAGTCAGAAGGCTGATAAGCAATACAGTCAAGCCTGTATCAACCTGCAGTGCAAGACAGACAAAATAAACAATGCATCTAAATATAATGCATTTATGATTCATGATTTAATATTTGAGACCCAGTTCACCCAAATTTATTTTTTCCACTTGCCACTAGTTAAAACGAGCCATGCATACAGATAAGGTTTTATTTGCTTTTTGGTATTTTGCATAAATCTCGGCTGGTTAGAAAAATAATAATGGAACATTTGGCTCCAAAAATTAAATATGACATAGTGGTGCACATACAGCTGTATACAACAATTAGACAACTGTATATCAACATAGGTAAAGAAACCACAAAGTTTGGGACTGTGATTGTTGCCACAGCATATCCCATTTTAAGCATTTCATCTTAGAGCATTTTTCCTCAGTGCATTATTTCCTTTCTAGTGGAAGTGGTTCTCATGATGTTCAAGATCTGTGTTCACAGCATCCAAAGAATGGGGTTATTTGCAAAGGGATGGCCGTTTGTACATACTTCTGTAAACACATTTGCTAATACTTTGATGAGCATTATAGTTCGAACAACTCATTAAATATACTCGCAATGCCTGAAAGACACATTTAATGAAGATGATAGTGAGCGCCGCCCCCCCCAAAAAAACAAAACAAACGACATTCATGACTTGGGCAACTGAAAAGCTGCAAAGAAATTAGCTGTAATCCTATGGTGCCAATGTATGCTACTGGTTTTGTGTCAATTTAAAGTGTATGGCTTGGACAACTGAAGTTAGTACGATGCCAGTCCAGCCATAAGAAATAATTTTGATCATAGCCTAAAATACAAGCTCTTTAAACCTTTATATAAAGAAAATTTGCACGGTTAGGTTGTAAAAACACATCAAGGCCGACGGGGCTTAAGTTGTTAGCTAGTAGTTACTCTTAACCGTTAGCATTAGCTAGCATTAATGTTTATCTGTGTAATGTCAAGTCTGTGGGCCAGCTGTGTTCAGTGTAATTATACTCACGACTGATCTTGACTTGGTCACTGTAATTTCCACCCCCTGATCTGTATTAGCTCAAAATAATGCACAGTCGTTTCTAAGTTGTGGTTATCTACGGTTTATTAACACAAGCTAACGGTGGCAATCAACGTTCTGCCAAGACTAAGTAAACTGGTGTTTACGGCAGTTCGTTACAACACAATAAGGCCTGTTAAACTACACTGCCAGCTAACTTGTATCGCTTATTAAGTGTCACGGGGTTTCACAAAGCCTAACAACCAGCATTAGTGGTAATTTAGCCAGTTAATTTCGAGCTACTTTGCATAGGTTAGTTAGCTAGCTGCCTTCACCATATCAGTCTCGGGCCCAATTCAGATTTGTGTCGTTGATAACGCTGCTAGCCAGTCGCCCCCGTTTTGACATCCACTGGTTAACAGTGTGTGACACTCTTACCTCTCCGTTTATGCCCGTAATGGACCCTACATTCCCGCTGCCTGTACTCCCAGGTGTTAAAAAGCTGACGACAGAGGCAGGTGTTCCTGCACAGCCTAGGGCCGAGGCAACCCCGGCCTTGCCACCGCTGGTATTGCAGACAGTACTGCAGCTACTGCCACCGCCCCGCTTGTTCTTCCTGCGTTTAGCCCCACGTTTAGCATCGGTTGGACTCATTTTTTCCACAGAAGAAGCGAGACAACTTGCCGTCCAGACTTGTCAGGGTGTCAAGTGGAATGCCTTGCGTAATCACTCGGGTATAAATCCGGGATAACGATTTAAAGACTCCCAAAACGACAGACACTCCGTTCCATCAAAGTGCAAACCTTCTTCATAGATTCCAATATGGCTTCTGACTGGACAGGCTTCAGCTTAACTGTGCGTCCCCGAAACCGGAGCTTATGGGAAATTGAGTTTGTTGTTAAGTAGCACATTGTAGGAAGTTACAAGGAAAGGGTTGTAGTTGTACCTGAGATAAACATTAACGACAAAGCCAGTAGTCTATTCCGCTCATTTTCACATTTTAATTACAATTTGTGTGAATGTTTTACTCAGTTCTAAAAATCACCAAATAATCAGTTCTATATTTATAAGTATTTTTATTTTCCTAATGCACATTATTTTTTCTTGTTTGCATATTCTGTTTCTTTTTTGTTCTCTCAGTTGTATCTTGTTTACTTGTCTACTCGTTGCCTTACACGTTGTATATACACATTAAGAGCCACTGTCTAAGAGGCAGAGTCAAAAAAAATTCCTCGTGTGCCCAACACACCTGGTCAGTGATTCTGATTATGACATACAGCATATTGTATACAAATAGTAGACAGTGTATTTGAACAGCAGGGGGAGATCGTATGCCGCAAATGATGAGGGCTTCGGCTGACAGCCGAGGGTGTGCATAGTGGATCGGTCTTTCCGGGGTTCAAACAGCAAGTCTAGCGTGCCTGTGGAGAGTCGAGGACCACCGATGATAAGTTGGCAGAATATATGTTCAACGTTTGCATTAACTGTAGGCGCAGTGCTTCTTAGGAAAACCCCTGGTGCCCACGGTATCGAGGTTTTCAGTGAACTAGCGTTACTACAAGGGCTAACAGTTTACAGCTAAATAGTTAGCCACGGCCACTTACAGGTAACGTTAACAAAAGTTTTGATCATCGCCATTTCCTTGTGGTTTTGAGTTTCATATCTAGTGAAGTAGTACGCTCATATCGAGTATTTTTACGTGCTTTTTGTGAAGTTTGTCACAAGTTCTATATCTGTATTGTTTGCTGTTTAGCTACGTTAATGTTAGCTAGCACTATGTCAACGGCTCTGATATGTCCACGTTAAGACAGATTACTGGACATCTTCATGCTAACTGACTTGGAGTAAAGCTACTGAAAGGTCTGTTAAATGGTTATTTTCCAAACGTATTATGTTTGCTTGGCCTTAAACATTCTATACAACACTTTTATTATCAACCAGTCAGTCAAAATGTATTTATATAGCACGTTTAAAAACAACAAAAGTGATGTAACGTTTCTACAAAGTGTTTTTTTAATCACTTTTGGACGCCCTCGCAGGTCACGTGACTTTTCCTGACCGTTCAGTTCTGTGTGTAATGTTAGAGATTAAAAACGTGACAAATAGCTGTAATGTTTAACAAGTATCAACATCCACGTCTTACTGATAAAAGCACCAGTTTATAACGTCACAATAGCAAGTCACAGTGCCTTTACAGGGGATAAAGGCCCGTGCGCTGCCAGTAGTATCTACGGTACCTCAGACATAGTTGTCATAGCAGATTTGTGATTTCTGTTTGGAAAGTAGTTTATACAGCAACCTGTTTATATTTTGTTCATCCATTTGAGTCTGTCTCGCTTTAGTGGTAGAGATGCATGGGTTTATATAAGCCCAGCACAAGCCTTTCATGTATTATCATTAGATTTGAGTTACAGGGCTACGCATCTGGTTTCCTAAACTAATCCAAACAAAAAGTGTAGATGAAAAGGACATAAAACCTTTCAGGATGTGTAGGATTTAAGCAGATTAAAACTGTATATTTGTTTTTATTTGTATACATAAATTGGGAGGAACAGCACATGTTTTTATGTAGCTGTGTCTGCAGAAACATCTATGATAATGCACACACTGTAGAATCAAATACCTTCTTGGGGAAGTAACTAGTGAAAAAAGTTGTTAATTTGTCTATATGAATATTTTATTTTGTTACATGATAAAATAAAGATGATTTTGATTTGGTTCTGATAACAGTTTTCTTGATTTGAGATGTATCATTTCCAGGTACCATCTTACAAAATAGTCAATAGTAACTTGAGCAACAGGCAAAAAAAATCTTTAGTCAAGCTATGGTAAAGTATTTTAACAATTCAAAGGCTTAGAAAAGTCTTTGAGGATTTTGGAAATACCTCAAACAGTGGTTAATGTTGTTAAACAAGAATTTATCTTTCAAGAAAAACACATACTTAGCTCTGTGACTGAAATAAGAATGCATGAACCAGGACCCCGCTATGCAGTGCGCTATAAGTAATTAGCTTGGTAGGACCTGTTCATACCCTCCTATCTATCTGTTTTCAGGTATGTCTGAAGTTAGTCTTGAGGCTGAATTGGGGAAGACCTCAGCCGAGGACGCTCAGCTGGATTGTGAGGACGCTGACGAAGTAAAGGAGAATTTGAGTGAGGATGTTGAACAGGAGAGTGTAGACAACAGCAGAGATGAGGATGTTGGAGATGAGGTGCTTGACGACGTTGATATTGATAGTGTTGAAGAAAATGCAGAAATCAGTGGCAAGGATGTCCAGGAGGAGGATGAGGATATTCAGAGTGAGGGGGATGGCGTTGCTGCACACACGCCTGGCAGTGTAGACAATGGGGGACACCAGACAAATCTTCATGTTGAAACACCAGAGGAGAATGGAGATTCTCTCATTGAAGCAAAGGTGATATTTACCGTCGCTTCTTGCAGTTCCTTACCATGCGCCTGCTCATGTGGCTGTTTTGCTCTTAATCTGCTGTGGTGTTGGGGGTATCTTTCCTATATAATCTGTTCGTTATTAGATGGAATTTTGTCATGAATAATGTCATAAGACTGTAGTAAAATAGCTGATGTAGCTGTTGCTCTCGGTGTAGTTGGTGGCTTTCTTGCTGATTATGAGTGTGTTGCTTTGTGATGTACCTTATGTGTTTGGGGACAATCAAGGGATTTACTCAGTTTTTCTGCTTTGTGTTAATGCTGGCTTTCCTCAGAGTGTTTTGTCTTAATGCGTATTATGACATGTTTGATTTTTATGGTTCCTACTATCAGTAAGTATATACTCCATCCAGTTTGTCTTCTTTTGCTTGACACTGACTCTTTGAGTGAAAGTGTACATTATGTGTAAATGACACCATTTCCTCACAGTGTTTCCCTGTTTGTAAACTGGGTGTACATAGAGCTCTTGAATTCTACATGCTGTCAGTCACGTGGCTGGGTAAGTGAGATGGATTCGGACTCCTGACTGCACATCCTCAGGTAGTCCCAGTGTTACTGGAATGTGACTCATCAGGGTGTTGGTGCACATTTTGTGTTGGGCTCAGTGGCAGTGTTGTACATCAGGTTGCAAGAATCTAAAATTAAAAAAAGATTCTCCTTTTATGGTGGTAACCACAAAGGCAGTTCATTTGTGATTCCTAATTTTAAGGTCTCTTTATGCAGCTTGAGCTCAGCATTGTGCAACATGGTTGTGTGATGTTCTTGTGTACCTTGTGAGGAGAGACATGATTCTTTCCTCTTTGGCTGATGCAGCTAATTTGACAACTACAGTAGCGCCTTGTTGTTATCCATCCATCCCTCCCTCCCACATCAGGTTAGCTTGTATCCAGGATACTGACCTGTAGGGAATGGCAAACCTTGACATGCCATGCTTGCCCCCTTTCATGTGCCTGATTAAATTATAGCCTCTGAACCACTGTCTCTGGTCCAGTAGTCTAACAGTGCTGGTAATCTTTCCTGCAGAGTGTTTGCATATGGAGGATGGAATCATTTCAGCTCCCATTATGTTTTTCTATATGAGAAGATATAAATCCAAATAGATAGCCGGGTATGCTAAAGCTTAAGCTAGTTGAACAAAAGTGAAACTGTGTGGATCAGCAAATTAAAAACAAAGTTAATTTAAAAAATGGAAGTGCCTCAGCCACACAGCCTGTTTAAACTTGAGGACTCATCTGCCTTATCTGCGGTAGTGGTTAGACAAGCCTAGTGGTGCTTGTGGGCATCATATGGCCTTTAAGTATTTATGTGTTTGTTACATGATGCAGGGCACAAAGTAAAGTCTTTGTCATACATGGAAACATGAAATCAGTTTATGCATCATGACGTTGGTCTCTTTTTAAAATCTGGTTGAGCGTGTGAGAAATTATGTTTATCATCGTAACGCACCCTTCATCTTATTTAATCCAGCCTTGTTCTCTAAGACCAGTTTTTAACTGTTTATATAAACTCACGTACTGTGCGATATCAGATGACACACTGCAATCAAAGCAAAAGGTCATCTGTTTTTAATGTGTTTTATATTATTATCAAATTGTTGAACTAATTCAGAAATATTATACAAAGTCTTTTCCATGTGATTCTTAATTATACTTGACATCAAGTAGAATTTAGTTCCATGCTTGGACCTGTAGCACAAGGTTTTCCAAGTTGGATGACAGAATGACATAAACGTGACATTCAGTGTGGTCTGAAATCTTACAGTAAAAGATAAAGCCTTGTATTTGCTAGGAAACACTGACATGGTCACAGCAGTGAGATCCTGCATACTGCCTATGCAAAGCAAATGCCACAGATAACTTTACTAGGTACTTTATTGGTCCCTCAATGGGGAAATGTCAGTGTTTCAGCAGCAATGGAGAACAAACAACATAACACCATGAGAAACAAACACCACACACATTTTGATAAACAAATTTCAAGTACTCAAAAATAGACAGAATCAAGTATTGGAATAATCAAGAACATCATTTACATATGTGCATATTAACCATGCATTTTACCCCCAGGATTTGAGTATTGCACCTCAGTTGGCTATTACATACTCCCTCATACTTTCACCTAGCTTATCCCTGCAGTGATGTATTGTACAGTCTGATTGCTGTGGGGAGGAACGACCTACGGTAACGCTCCTTCTTACACTGGGGCTGTAACAGTCTTGTGCTAAAGGAACTGTTCAGAGCCTCTACTGTGTGGTGCAGGGGATGGGAGGGGTCGTGCATGATGGATGTTAGTTTTACCAGCATCCTTCTGTCCGCCACCTCCTCGATGGAATCCAGGGGGCAGCCCAGGACAGACCCAGCTCTCTTGACCAGCTTGCTTAGTCTCTTTCTGTCCCTGTCCGTGCTACCTCCCGCCCAGCCCACAACAGCGTAAAAACAGAGATTCCCTTTTTTTCTATAGCTTCAGTGGTAAATGGTCTTATACTTGTATAGTGCTTTTCTATGCATTGCAGCACACTCAAAGCGTTTTCACACTGTTTGGCCATTCACACTCACACCGGTGTCATCACCGGGAGCAACTATGTCTTGCTCAAGGACCCTTCAAAATGTGGACTGGACAAGCCGGGAATCGAACCGCTAATATTCCGGTTAAGAGATGACCCGCTCCTCCTCCTGAGCCACAGCCGATGCCATTGGTGGGGTTTTGTGCATTTCCCTTAGCCTTTATGGCTCACAAAACAAATAGTGTATGCCTGAACTCCACCAAACTATTCATTTATGCATGCAAAGAGTGAGAATGGTAGTATTTTCTTCCTAACACATTCCACCCTGCTGTATTTAGTAATCCAGCAGAGTTGTAAAACAGGGGAGTGTTGAAAATTAGTGTCTGTTGTTGCACAAGAACTTCATATCCTGGTAAATGCTGTAATGCAGCAGCATACTACTATGCTCTGTCCTGTCCCACAAATAAATGCAAGGAACAGTCGAAAGAGGATGGGCTGCCAAGAATATAGGCATCATTTTGCAGTAATTTTCTAGGATTTGACTCCTTTTTTTGTGTGTAATCTCGCATTACAATAGGTTTTAGGCCATTTTGTTAAACAATAAAACTGATGTTCATTGCTTTAAACTAGTGGTTGACCGATATGGGTTTTTCAGTGGTCTATCTTTAGAGAGCAAGGGGGCTGATCGTTGATATCACAGTGGTGTGTTTTTTCTTTTTGCATTAGATAAAATAGAAAAACGTAATAACAAATGACACACGCTTGCTGAACCTAAATGAACTTTTAACACTAATGAATCTTGAAATTATTTTATTATTGCATTTATTTGAAAATAAAAAATGAGCAGTGTCTCTGTTTGCTACACTCTGCACACCCCTTATTGTTTCAAAAACAAGTGCACACCCCTTATTGTTTCAAAAACAAGTCCACAACTAATCAGAAAATTTAACTTAAAAAAAAAAAAACCCCAAGCTCCTTCCAAATGATGTATCTGCAGACATGTTTTTTTATTTTATTTAATTGGTCTCGTCAGCGCAGATGTTGGTCGATGTCTACTGTATTATCTAAAAATACCAAATATCAGCCTGATTAATCTGTGAGGTAAAACTATCATATATTCACATAATTCTTCTGGTCTTAACCTCATTATGTTTTAGTGTTTGGGATATTGATTGTTATTGTCCATTTAGAAGTTAAAATTGTACATCTTGTTTTCATGTCTTCATTTCACTGAACTCCTATTATCAGTATCAAATCCTGTCCCAGGCCAGTCATTACCACTGTGGCAGTTTCCACAAGGTGGCAGCCCACAACTAGCATGTCCACTAGAGGATCCTCTCTCCCTCATGGCGATCTCTCTTTGAAGCTGTCAGGAGGAGCTTTGAGCAATAACCTGCTTCATTTCACCCTCCTTGTTATAGGAGAGCACAATGGCTGAGGAGTCCCACAGAAGCTCAGCTGCTGAGATCCCAGTCACCAGCAATGGAGAGCTGGATCAGAGCCCTGAGACAGTATACCAGAGGGTAAGGGCTTGTTTAGAGACCTTTGAGAACAGCACCTTCACAGCTGTATAATTGTCTTAAACAATCGGACCCAGCTTCTCAAACTAAATCAAAGATTGTTAACATCCTGTCTTTCAGAGACTGCGACTAACAGCAATACTTCCCCTGTTATGATGTTGACACATTTTGATACATTAAGTATGTCCTTCAATAAACTGGCTCAACAAACACTAAAACACTATTGCTAGTATAAAATTAAGTGCAAACAGTTGTGCATTATTGGTGGTTTTTGGCAATGTGTGAAAAATGGTAGGGCTCCATTATTTTCTCTATTAAATGTTTTGTTTATGAAATGCCAAAAAGACAGCAAGAAAGCTGGTGTTGTAGCCCCAGCTTGCAACTCTCATGTATTACATACACTTGAGTCACAGAGATGACTCTTCCGCTAACTTGTGGAAACGATGCATGCCGCTTTAACTCTGTACCATCTTTTGACAATAACCATCCATATTCTGAAGGTATTTCCTGAATCGTCATCAGCTGATAATGGTAATTCCAGAAAATAGGTTATTCTTTCATATTGCACAACTTGAAGTCTCTGCTTTTGAACCCAGTTAAGTGAACAGCCTATATCACTGACTGAATGCTTCCCCAAAGAGCCCAGATACCAAGACACCATCTTAATATCAACACCAAACCTAAGACTGGGCACCACGGTGGCACAGTGGTTAGCGCCATTGCCACCTTTCTGTGTGGAGTTTGCATGTTCTCTCCGTGCTTGCGTGGGTTCTCTCCGGGTACTCCGGCTTCCTCCCACAGTCCAAAGACATGCAGCTTAGGTTGATTGGTGTCTCTAAATTGCCCATAGGAGTGCATGTGCTCTCTGACTGCCTAAATTTCTTATCTGCCATTGCAGCCTGTGGACTTGAAACCACTAAACCCATTAACATAATTTCTGTTGGATCTCTCCCGCCCCCATAGGACTCTTGCCCCAGTGGCCCTGGGGCCCTAAACCTTTCAGAGACCTGCCTCACCTCCAGCAACTTTGCTTCAACAAGAGAGGGCATCATTGAGTCAAGACCATACAAAGGTAAACACTCCACTTAACCATTTTATTATTGCTCCCTGTGTTTTGTCTGTGCACTCGGTCATCACTCTCTGGGTTTTGTAACACTGCATCTCATCACAATTTTGGTTGGTTACACTATTTGGTTGCTTTGTGGAATTCTGTGTTTACATTCTTTCTCTCGATGTGTTCCCAGTGCTGCGCTTTTGGTTTTTAATCTTTGTAAAATTTGAAAAGCAGACATTTGAATTTGTAAAGATGGACATCCTATTGAATTTAATGAGTTTTCTCTGATCTCTAGGTTGTAACCCTCCTTTCCTTTTCATCACCATGCGCTTGTTAGAAATGCAAATAAAAATCTCCCCATTGAGCAGTGAGCTGTTGTAGCCCATTCACCGCAGTGTTGCCATGGCTATTTTCCATGTTGTTTACACTGGTTGAGGTAGGCTTTTGTTCATTAAAACATTCATCCTGCAGCACAGTGAGAGCCACAGCAATTTAAAAAACACACACAGGAAATCAGCATCAATGAGAATTTCCCTCTTACACTTACGCAGACACAAGGGTGACATACTAATGAATCATAACTCTGACTATCTCCCAGGATCAGCAAGCCTGCCCACATCTCCCGTGGCATCTGTAGCTCCCAGCTCGGCTGTCGCTAGCCGCCTGGCGCGCTCTTCCAGCGATAGTCAAACTGAAGGTACCCGCAGCAATGGAATTTGAACAAGATGATACTGAATCGTCACAATTTACTCACTTAATTAACAGCAGCCTCCTGTACCTTTCATGGGCTTCGTCAGTTTCTTCCCCTCTCCTTGTTCCCACAGGCTGTCCTTTATTCAGAATTAAACCTTTCCTCTTCTGCTTTGTTGTGTATTGACTCTCCAGCCTTTGCCTTTGTACAAGTCTGTGCTAACTGAAGTAGCTTTCTGCTTTACAGTGGTTAATGGTAAGCATTTACATACTCAACACTTAGATCTTATACAACCTCTTGATACCTGAAACATTTGCTTGGCTTAGAAGGAAAACTGCTTTCACATGTAATCTTAGTGGATTTTCCTGCTTGGGGCTTTTTGTCCTTGGCATCAATGGTTTTTCACTGTGGAGCTCAGAAACTGACAAATGTTGTAAAAGGTTAAAACTAGACAAAATGTGTAATAAATAATATTGTTGGGTGAATTAAAATGGACATTTGATACTTTAACCTCCAGTCAATTGGGGATGAAAAGCAGCTAAGGCTAATTAATGTTTTTGACATTATGAGAAAAGAAACATTAAATCATTGTCAATGACTTGTTTCCTATGTAATCTCCAGTGAAGAAAGACTTGAAGATGAAACGTTGGATACTGTAGCTAGCATTGTTAGCATTAGCTGTTAGCATTATATAGCAATGCATTTTGTCAGTTTTGGGGCACCTTGTCTTTTAATATTTTCCCTTTATTCCCAAAACCCAATGAAGCACTTTTTTTCACTTCTACTGTGACTATTTATGTTTACAAAGTGGTAATCATGACTAATTTTGTGGGGTGAATAATCATATACATCATCAGCATCCTCTAATGCCTTAAATTCAGCATTTGTTCTGTGTTGACATTTGTTTATGTGAGAATCTGAAATCCTTGTTTGATAATTATAGTAAAATGCACCTCCCTGATTTTCACCACAGGTCCTAGACTGTGAATCCAATAACTTACCAAGTGAATGACTTTTAATTGCTTAGGTGCACAGCCAAAGACTGGAGCTGTGGTCCTTTCAGATGACTTAAAGAACCCAGCCATGGAAAAACTGGACCTAGTGAGAAAGTGGAGCATCAACACATATAAAGTAATCCTCCTGTTCCTTGATTCATTTCTATGTTCCTCTCTACATCTCTGGACTTTGCCTTTATTGTCTGACAGCCACAATAACTTTTCTTGCTTTAAACTTTTTTTTTTTTTTTAAACCCTTTGATTTTTTTTCTTGCATGGTCTTCTTGACTTAAGTACAAATTCCCCACAGTCACCTAATGCAGAGTAAAATGCCATTAGCCTCTTATCAGTGTGTGCTGTTACTAAGCCTCCTGCCCTCTGCAGTGTACCAGGCAGATCTTGTCAGAGAAGCTGGGTCGGGGCTCAAGGACCGTGGACCTGGAGCTGGAGGCTCAAATCGACGTCCTGCATGACAACAAGAGAAAGTACCAGTATGTGATCAGGCTGGCTCAGACGCTGGCCAATCAGCTGTCCCAGATAATACAGACGCAAAAGCAGCTGGGCGACGCCTTCGCAGACCTCAGCCTCAAGACACCAGAGCTCCATGTGAGTCCATATATAGCAGATACATATTCTTCGTTACAAGTAATAAATAAGTGTATTTTATTCTATCCTTTAAGTCAGGGGTGGCCAATTCCAGTCCTCAAGGGCCACTGTCCTGCTTGTTTTTCAACTATCCCTGCCTGACCTGCTGCTGATTACCTGGCTCAGGTGTGTTCAGCCAGTCAGAAGCTGGAAGATACCAATTCACTTTATCTTTCCTCACTCCACTTTCATCTAAGATGGTATCTTCCAGCTTCTGACTGGCTGAACACACCTGAGCCAGGTAATCAGCAGCAGGTCAGGCAGGAATAGTTGGAAAACAAGCAGGACAGCGGCCCTTGAGGACTGGAATTGGCCACCCCTGCTTTAAGAGAATGATTATGTTCTAGAGTTAAAAATAGATGTTCTGTACTGTAGATTTGTTTTTGTTTTGTTTTTTGTTTTTTTATTAAAAATGCATATACTATAAAGGGCAGTACTGATTAAAACTGGTATTAAAACTCCTATTGATGTCCTTAATTGTGTTCTTCAGGAGGAGTTTGCTTACAATGCTGACACCCAAAAGCTTCTATCCAAAAATGGAGAGACACTGCTGGGTGCCATCAACTTCTTCATCTCCAGTGTCAAAACACTAGTGGAAAAGACAATTGAAGATACCATGATTAATATAAAACAGTATGAAATAGCCAGGTAATACACACCAATATGTGTTTGTTCTGCCTGCGCACCAGCTCCAATCCTCAGTCAACTTTATAGAATTATTTAGAGAAAGCATTTCTATCCTGGCTTGTCCTTATAGGCGCTTTGAGAACAAACAGTTCTAGGGACTACCCCACTGGGGAGTTCCCCCAAGAACTACACACCTTCACAGGCTTTTCCTATTTGCATTCGCACCACCAGTAGGAACGCTGAAGTAACGCAACACTAAAAGCGAGCCTACTGTTAGCGATAAGCTAACAATCTCACAACAGTTAACACATAGCGGTTACAGTAAGTCCAGTAAGTATTTTCTTTATATGTTGCTAACAATTATATAATGAGCCACTAACCCTCTGCAGAGGGTTCTGTTAGTGAATGGCAGTTCCCCATGCCGCTGGTGATGGCTATTGTTTACACGGCTGACACAGTTTTTAAAAAATGACAGCACTGCTGCAGTCACCATACATGTACGTCACTCATGGTTTCCATTGTGCTTGGGGAGTACCTATGGCGTTCTAAGAGCTATTATCATTCTCAGTTCCTGCGGTTTGAACAGACAAAAAATGGCTTACTTTGTCTAACAGTTCTATGAGCTATGAAAAAGTTCCTCCGGTCCAAAAGTATCTTATAAGTGACATTTGCACGTAACGCAGAGTCATCGGACCCATTGCTAAAATACTTAAAAGTTTTTAATGATTAATTAATTAGAGCAGCTTTAAGACATCAAAAATGTCAAACTGTCTCCTTTTGTTGGTCAAATAAGACTAGTGAACTGGAGCTGGTGTGGGGGTTACACTGTCATCACTTGCATTTAGTAATGTTCTGTACAACAATACTCCTCTGCTATGTGATTGTCCCTTTGTATTGTGATCCATTCACACACATTATAGTTCTGATATTGTTTTAAATAATGACACCTCCCTAGGATTGAGTATGATGCATACCGCACAGATTTAGAAGAGCTGAACCTAGGGCCACGTGATGCCACCACCATGCCCAAGATCGAGCAGTCCCAGCTGCAGTTCCAAATCCACCGCGAGAAATACGAGAGGATGCGAAATGATGTCTCCATCAAGCTGAAGTTCCTGGAAGAGAACAAGGTCAGCTAGAGGCTTGTTCTGCTCGATATGCTTGTGCCAACATATCAATTAAGACCGCTCATGATCTCTTTTCTTTTTCCTCTCTTCCTGTTCCTAAACAGGTGAAGGTTCTGCATAAACAGCTCCTCCTGTTCCACAATGCCATAGCTGCATACTATGCTGGAAATCAAGAGAAGCTGGAACAGACACTCAAGCAGTTCCACATCAAGCTGAAAATGCCAGGTGGGGACAGTCCATCTTGGCTGGAAGAGCACTAATCACTCACCACGGTTCCTTTCAGGAATTGTCTAATTCTACAGAAACCCTCCTTCCCTTCATCTCTACTGTCACTGCGTTCTGCTTTGAAAGCTCTCAGAATTGTACATCTTTTAACATAGTACACAAAGGGGAGGGGGGGGGGAATAAACTCCCAGTCTATTTTACTCTTCAAATTAAATATTTTCATCTTTGCAGTTAATTCAAGCCATTGGAAAAGCACTTTTATACTGTTTGACAAATCTGTTGAACAGGGGTTGCTGCAGTAAACGTGTCTGGAAACTGCATGGCCTTCTGTATTCCAGCTTATGAATGTTGTATCCAGCAAAGTGCACATGTAACAGCAGCTCCAGGATCAAAATGGCTGCTGTTTAATTCACCTTATTTACTCTTATCAGCTGAATAAAATGGAGTTGAATGGTTTATGAAGAATCTAATCTTTCAT